TTATTCTTCCTCCAGATTGTATGCATGCTCTATCGGTCATGGTTGAAGCGGCCGAAACTGCCCAACATGACCCTAAATCGTATTTATTGCGTTTTTGAATGTAAATTGTAAAGTGATAATGTTCGAAAACTCGCCGCACTTAGTTTGATCACGTACTGTACTTATTAGATGTCTACACTCAGGCCATCTGTCTCGCGCATCAAACCTGTGACGAATAGTGAAGTTTTGGCAAGACATTGGTAACGGGCACATTCCACGATTATATACATTGGCTCAAAACTAGTAGTAATCCAACATACTTATCCGGTAGCTCTTCATCCTTGCCCAATTTTATCTCAATGCGTTCACTGTCCTTTGGCGGAATTAAATACTTCATGTCCATCAAGTACTTCATCCGTTCTTTAGTTTCTGCCTTCTTCTGGTCAAGTGCAAGATCACCGCTGTGGGCCAACAATGTCGAACCCGCAGCAATTAGAACAAAAATGCGTAGCATTGAGATGGGTTGCAAACTGAAAATAATTATTTCTTATAAGCATTGGTTAAGGGTACTAAGCACGAAGCCAAGGTTTTGAGTGCTGAAAAGTTTCGATCTTATTCATGGCAATATAGCAGTGGAAAAAGAGAGCATATATCAAGAAATTTTTATGTTTAAGTTTAATCAACTAATTCCAACTTGGTTTTCAAATTCGTTACTTACCAAGTAATATCTTTATTTCTTTTCCTGATCACTTGTTCAGTTGTACAGCTAAATATTCACTGCTTTTCAATGTATGTCCACCCTTAATTTAATTGCACGAAAGATAGAGTTGTCATAGAGATTCAGCGTTGATTTTATGATAATCAGCACATGAACAGATCTTTGTGAGCAAATTCTTATCATGCCAAGCTGTTCCTAATTTGCAGATTTTTTGTTTTGAAATTTTGCTTATCGTCGGCTCCCAGAAATAGAGCGGGTAGGTCGTTACGGCCACTGATGCGGTGCGGCCGGTGAGACACCAGTGATTAGCTT